ATAGTTCTTTAGTTGACTTTTTTTAAACGCTATTTTTTTAGCAAAAACTGGTGCTAATTTAATGCAATGGTGTGCAAATTAATTTTAATTTATAATTTTTAATTTTTTAGAAGTGCAAAGCTGTAAAAGAGAATGAAAGACTCTAAGGTAGCGATAGTCATATTTTGGCATTAAAATGGATTCCATTGCAAATGGTGTAATTAAAATTAAGTTATGCATCGGATACAAAATTTATAGATATATTATGTACTTAAGTTCTTTATAAACATTCAAAAAATTCATTTGTTCATACAATAACTACATTGTTTTTGTGTTAAATATATCATTAAAGTATGTTGTATGTGCATTCATGTATGTATATTTTATGTATGTATGAGTTTATGTATTACATATAAGTTTGTGTATATACGCGTGTATGCACGCAAATTCAATTATGTTGCGTAAACCGTTACTTAGTAGTTACATACTTAAAAAAAAATCAAATTAAAATTTAGGATTATTCTAACCTACATACATTTGCTTAATAAATTCCACAAATCTTAATTTTTAAAATCCAAATTTTTTATATGGTACATACATATGTATATTTTTATTTAGCTATGTAAATAACAAAGTTTTTCGCAATAACAAACATTTGCATCCGCTTAGTTTTAATTCAAGAGCTTATTACGTATAATAAAAATGAATTAGTCTTTTAACAGGATAGACTTAATTTATTGGCCTATTTTAACGACACGAATGTATGAATGTATGTAAATACATACATATGTAAGTATGTATGTGCACATGTGTATATGTATTCACAGGTTTCTTTACACTTAATATTGATCTTAAAATAATGTTTTCCACAATATATAATTCTTTGTATAATAATAATGCTTAAACTAACATATGTATGTATGTACGTGTACATACGTTTTTTGTCTTTATATTTTTTTTGAGTGCGTGCTTGTATTTGCAAAATAATTAAGTTTTATGACTTATTTGAGCTTAAGTATATTTGTTTGACAAATTTTGGCTTCATTTTTCGTTCTTAATATCACTAGTTTTTTTGTTTTTTGTTTTTATTATTTTTAAACCCCCTTCTTGTAACAAATTACTCGTCTAACTGTAATTCATACAGCAATCACTTATTATTAGACGGAATTATAAAATAATTTTTTTTTTAAGTACACATGTATGTAAGTTCAAGCAGTAAGCTAAAATGCATACAACACTGCCCGAAACTTGATTACAGTTACTTAAATTTTGTAAACAATTTTTCAAGAAACAACACAGTTTGGGCAAATTTTGCGAGAGCTGTCGAGTTTTGTGGAGAACGCGCATTATATCTAAGCTAATGCTGGAGTTTCGTCTAATTCCTGCAATTTTGCCATAAGGCGGCGGTGGATTGCGATTTAGATTTAAAAACAGCTGATTACTCCCACAGTTGTCACAGGTGATCCATTTGGTAATTTATTTTCTGCTTGGTACATAGCCCCAATTTGGCAATTTTTACAATTGCATACTTTTGGATAGGAAAACCCTTTTAAAACATAAGTATAAAGGAATTATCTCGGAAAGAATAAGTTATGTATCTCAAAATTTTTTTATGAAATCACATTATGACGCGCTCTAAAATAAGAGAATATCTTCCAAACACCATTCCTTGTTCCACAAAAAGTCAGTACATATACAGACATAGCTATAAAAATATCTTTAAAATAATCCCATTTTCATTTCAGCAAAATGAATGCTCAAAATTGACAAATTCGGCTAAAAACATTTGAGCTTGCTGCATTTTTATCTATTTTCGTATAATAACCTTACTCTCTTTTTCATTGATACTAGCAGTATATATAAAATTTGCAATACATATCTGTGTCCGTATTGAATAGTAGCTTATGTCGGGAAGCTGGCTTTAGTATAATGCGGCATTCCCTTTATTCTTTAAACCACAAGGAATTTTTTGCAGAGACTTAATAAGAATATTGACTTTAAATTCGTTTAAGTTTTTAGAGAGTAATCTACCGACTTTTTTGCAGGTAACGATATGTGCGAATACATGCATATTCTCGTACATATACATACAACTCTGAATCAACTAGTACTGTTTAATTTTTCATAGGTGTGTGTATTTACAAATATTAAAAGTGTGATGAATAATAATTTTTTTTTTACTAATTGGCTATTAGTTTGAAATGAACAAAGTAACTAATTTTTGGATGCACTTCGCATGCTTGCATATTATAATTTTAACGTTAATATAATGAAAATCCTCTTCCATTTTCAAAAGATATTTCTAAAATGTTGGAACACCCGAAACTCGACAATATATTTCATAAACATTTTGGCATTTGAATGTTTCTAGATTTTCGTATTTGCCATATACCGCGCTACAGACTTCTCAGACGTACATAAAAAATTTAAAGTGCTTATCATAACTATACGACACCCTCATATTGAAATGTTTTGACTATCTATTTTTTTATTTTTTCATTTTAATTATTTTTTATAAAACTTAGTTCATTCTATAACAAAAACCATACAAATCAAAGTTACAAACTCTACAAAAATTAAAAAAAAAATCAACTAAGTTTCATCAAACTCTCACGCTTTTTATTCAGAATTTTTTAAAAAAGTTTTGGATATGCATCTTTGTAGTGTGCATTTTCCGCCATATAAAAAAATTGTCGAACATACTTTGTATGTACATACTGCATAAAGAGCCGTCTGCAGTTCTCAAGAAAACCACAAGAAATATTTTTCATTATTTCTATTGCTTGAAAAAGTACTTTGCGTTGTTGTAAATTTTCTTGATAATCCCATTTCACAGCCGGAATAAACAGAATACGTTTGAAATATACGTTAACATATCATCAGGAACGTTTTAAGGAATAAGTAAACAAAAAAGTTTATTCCAATCGTTCAGATAATGAAAAATATTTCTTCTGATTTTTCTTGAGAGCTGCAGACGACCCTTTATGGAAAATAATGAGTGACACTGTCAAAAAAAAAAAAAAACAAAAAAAAAAAACAAAAAAACACAAAAAAAAAGATTGCCAAAACTTGTCAATATGTGGGTGTCGCATAGTTTTGATAACCTCCATATACATATGTACACCTCGTGTCATAATTATAGGGCACCACATATTGACAAGTGGGGGTTCCATACAAAATGTGCAACAAGAAAAGCGCTAGCCTGGCTCAAAAAGCAAATATGTAAATTCGTTAATATGGTTTAAGAATAAAACAAGTACATACATATGTATGTATAACTTATGCTATTTATTATACTAGGGTAAACTATAGATGTGATGTATTTAATTTGAACTTTTCAATGTAGTATGTATATACATACATGTATGTAGTATATATACATTGTATAAAGATACGTATATGTGAATGTTTGGAATAGTATTTGAGTATATTACAGTAAGGAACTTAAATACATTGTTTGTTTGCACGCACAAGAAACTTGCACAAATAAATCAATTCTAATGTGAATGTACACAAATACACATATACATACATACATATCGTCACTCACCATTAATTTAAAAGGCCATAAATGCAATACTTATTATTTCTATAGGTCCTTCAATTTCCGCACAGCTACATACAAACGCGTCCACACCAAAATTTGTAAGCCATTTGTATTTAAAAAGATACAACGCCATATGTAACTTAAACAAATCCCAGCAATTAATTTAAGGTAAAGCCATTCTGAAGGCCTACCCAAGAAGGGCTGAAAAAAGTGCTTGCCTGCATGGCTTCTAGATGGTCTTTTTCTATTTGCAATTTACACGAATGCGTAAATTTATATCATTTAATATTACAAATAAATTTAAATATGTACTTTACATTGAAAAAAAAAATATATATGAAGATATGAAGCAGTTTTATAAGAACTCCCCCAAAAGGCGTTCTGAAATACGTCTTACAAAAACCCTTCTGGAAGCCCTTCTATGGGTAGCGAAAGCAGAAGGTCTTCAATTTATGCCACTCCATACAAAAATGAAAGGAGAAACGAATGTAGAGTGGAAAGCCTCTCGATTCTCAAGAAGGCAGAAGAATGAGATGATATGTATGTATGTATGTATGTACACATGTATCCAAATATTTTACAACTAACACTGTAGGGAAAATCTTATGTTTTGAAATTACATAAAAACACGTAACTTTAACACGTAACCTTAATATTGGGCCATAGGTTATGGATCTGTATACCGTTTTTCCAGATAAGGCAATTCTCCCAATATATGGTATTGTAATTTGTATAAACAAATAATTCAAACAAGGAAAAAAAATTAAGAAATTGCAATTTGTATTACATTTGTATTAAAGCCTGTTCTTTTGCAAAAAATCAAGCTCCTAGCGTTGACAATCTATGGATAAATAAACAAAAATATTGCTTACATCTTTTTGGCGGTTAGGACTCGATATAAATTTCGTATATGGCTGTCCTCGTACATGGCGTATGAGTAACATTTCCATTTTAAAGTTGGAATTCTATTACATTCGCAATGCAAACATAAAATGAAAATATCTTGGAAAAATGGCCCGATCTAGAAAAAATGGTGTACGGATTAGTAATCTACGAACCAAAATTAAGTTTACGTGTCTCGGCATTTTTTGTGTCATTTTAGCATTCCTACAGTGTAGTTAATTTGATAAGCATACCAGTTTTTTGTTTCATATTGCAAATACCTTGACTTCAAGGTCCTACAACATTCAACACTTGTTACCTAAATTAAAACAATTATCAATGCAAAAGGCCTTACTTTTATGTATTACATTAGTTGGCTATCAGCTGCACTGCTCTAAGAAAGTTCAAAGCGATATTTAAAAATATACGAGTTTTCTTAGCATCTTTAGCAACAGTTCTGCAAATATTTACTGTGTAAGTTTTAAACGTTCTTAGCTTCTCGCGTAAAATTTAAATTTAGGACCTTTTGCATTGATGATTGCCATAAGTATGTATGTATGTACATCTATACGTATACATGTTACCGATCAAGTAAATTTATATAAAAACAATAAATCAGTCGCATAAGTCATCGAATTAAAGTTATTTTCAACTCGTATGCAAGCCTTTGGCTTCATTAGTTTTACTAATGCATTAAAAGTGAATATTTTTCTCTTAAATATTATCTAAAAAAAAAAAAAAAAAATAACATTTAGTACATCGATGTTCTCTTTTGTTTTTTTTTTCCATGCTTATCAACGCATCAATTTTTACTATTGAACTCTACATGAGTCAAACGTAGCTGATCTTGTCTTTCTTCTTGGCAGCATTGCTTCGATAATATTTTCCTAAACCTCGATTTGTTGAGATTCATTTCATTGTATTTTGTTGCGACCAAAAATCGGATGTAACATAACCGTATGAAACTATAGGGTTATTCTTTTGTTGCTGTAATGATGTTTGAGCTTGTTCATTATCTTCCTGTGCTGGTGCAATCTGATAGTGTACAATAGTAAAAAGAAAAAGAAAAAACTTTATTTTTATTTTTATCTTAAATGCGAATATTATTTACAACTACCTTAGGCAATGCATCGGGTAGCACATAATCACCAGTTGCAAGCGTAAAATTCGTTAAGAGATTGGGTTTTGCTTGCATGCAATTATGTGGTAGGTAATTGTTGAACATCGCAGATTTTGCTGGTCCCCGATCGATTGCGGCATCCGCCGTCGGCGGAAAACTGACTGATGTTGCAGTTTCTTTATCTGAGGCTATACAATTTCCAACATTTCCATTATCACTAACCGGCGACTCTATATTCAATGGACTCTTTGGCGCAATCGAGTGCAGGGGCATATATGATGATGAGTAACTGGAAGCGTTACTCTCATCGCTAACTGGTTTTCCAATGCCTGTTAATTGGTTGACACCTTTGTAACCATCATTTCTCAATGGCGTAGGCGCGCTGTGTGCATTTTTCCGTTGCAACGGGGAATGTTGATGCGAGGAAAGACTGCTCTCATTCAGTGAGGTATTGCTCGCTGATGAAACTAGTGCATCTATTGGTCCAAACCGATCGAAATACGTGTCGTCGACATTGTCACGACTACTGCTGCTACTTACATTATCGCAGGCGCCAACACCGTCTACGCCACTCTCACTACTACTAGGCGTTAACGCGCTATCGTAATCAAATTTATTTGTACTTTGAATTGGATTTTTGGAAGAGTCAAAATCATTAAATTTGCTGAATGAGTCGTTCATCGGCTGGTTGTCAGTAAGATTTCCAGGTATTTTACTCATTAGTGTGACAATTGGATCAGGAAGTAGAACAGCACATTTCGCGCGACGTCGAATGTCATTGCCTACCCAAAATACTGTAGCAATAAACATGCCCACAAAAATCAATGAAGCCACCAATATCTCATAGGGAAACTTCGGACATTTGTATGTATTGCGAGATAATCCTGCCGCCGCCGACTCAAGCGGTATTACGCCAGGTATAGTAAGAACTTTCGTTTTGATGTCATCTTCATCTTTTAGTTCACATTCAAAATCCTGTTGTAACGGCGTGATAATGTTGTTCTTTTTCTCACCATTAGTTAGTGATTGATGAAATACTGCTCCGGTACTGATCGTAGGCATACTATGGCGGCGTTTTCGTTGCACTGTCTTTGGCTCTACGGTAAATGTAGTATTATCAAATTGATCTTCTGGCACCAGATTGATAGCGCGCACCTCCATTTTGTGCCATGCACCCGTGCAACCAGGATATTTAAAGCGACATCGATGTGTCTTCTTTGAGCCACGCTGCATATAAGCTAGCTTCACTTTGTCACCATCAAAGAATTTCAGCTCGTATAGCTCTACGAGCCCTGATGGCATTACGGGGTCTGTCCATTTGACTGTATAATAACCGTCATCTCTGTCAAGGTCCACATCGAGTGGTTCCGATGGTCCTAGTCGAAGAGTAAAAAATTACAAACAAACAAATATTAAGATTTGAAAATATGTATGTATGTAGATATGTATTTAAAAGTTCCGTTTCCTAACTCGCAAGAAGTTGCCAGAATTTACAGGAATTTACCAGAAAGTGTTTCCGTACTCGGTTTTCTGGCAAAGTAGGGGAAAAATGGGAGAGTAGAATCGGTACTCTCTTTGTCAGAAGTTGCGATTTTAAACCCGAAGAATCCCGTATTCCTCGAACTAAAACTAGTGAAACTGTCAAAAAATAAAAATTCGCTTAGAGCGAGAGAGTAAAACTGAAAAGTAAGAGATCGATTTCTAGTAAAAAATGGTAACTTCTGACAACTTCAACATAACCTCCAAATTTTGGTTAAAAATTTTTTGCTTATTTTGTACGCAAGCAGAGTGCACTTTTCTTTTGTTTACAATTGTTTACAGTTGTCAAACATACTACAGCTGATCGTTTGACACATTTACCAGAATTTACCAGCAAAAAATCTTTGGACTAAAATTGGTCACTTCTGACAGAGAGAGGACCTTATTTACGCTCTTTTTTTGCCCTCTCAATTGTCAGAGAACCGAGTACGGGATCGATTTCCAGTAAAATCTGACGAGTTCTGACTCTTTCTGACAAGTCGGGACTCGTTCAGGATCGCAACTATGTAATTTTTTTTATAAGAGTGAATTGCACTCAGCTTAAATCGCCAGCCGGTAAAATAATTACTGGTTTTTACTGCATAGTTTGTAAAAAAAACGCAACTATTTGAAGAGTCGTTTTCATAGCGAAGAGATAAGTAACATTCACCAGTATAAAAATTAAAAAAAAAAATTACAAAAATTGTATATTAACTGCCGAATGTGAGTCATCTTTCCACATTGAAAATGATGCTAAATCAAACAAGCAAATGCACTAACACTAGTAAAGTTTGAAATTTCACTTACTTCCCATTAAGGTATTAATGTTCAACGATTCACTTTTGTTTGATTGCTTTGATGTCCACGCCGTTACCCACACTTTATACGGCGAATAACTGCTAAGGTCTCTCAACTTATAAGAGAACTTAGTGACATTTCGGTCACCTATTGGAATATCCGTCTGCGTTGGGTCGTTTGTAGTGTTTCCCCTAATTTTCCTTAAATACCTGATTTAATTGCAATTATAATTTACATAAATGAAAAGTTGAGAATTTTTCATTTCACACTTACCAAACGGTATATTTTGTAATTTTTCCATTAGTGACTTTCGGCGCTACCCAAGAAATATTTACCGAATTACTTGTTAAGGAAGCTTTTTCAAATCTTAAACCAGTAGGTGGATACGGAGCTGCAATAGTGAAAACATTTATGCATGAAAGTAAATATCTACTCATGTACATATAGTGATCCACAAAATAATAGTAGTGCGATATTTTGACCAGTTTTGGCTTTGTCTTTTGTTTATTTAAAGTTTTATTATTTTTTTATAAAAGTCTAGCTGGCTATACAACAAACATCATATAAATTCAGATTTTAAACTTCGCAAATTTTCACCAAAATTTTAAACTTTTTAATCAGAATCTTTAGAACAAATTGTAGTATGTAGTTTTTGTTTTAATTCTAGTATAACAAAGTGCAAGTTTCAAGTTGCTAAAAAATCCCGTTAATTTTTCAGAATTTATTACGTTCGACAATTTTCTTTTATATGGAGGACACTGCTAGCAAAAAAAAAAATGACAAAAATTAGTAGCTTGAAATTTGCACTTCATGATACTAGAAAACTGCATACCAAAATTTTGTCTAAGGATTCTGATTATAAAGTTTGAAATTTTGGAGAAAATTTGCAGTTTTTTTTTATATTATTTTTGTACAAAGTGTGAAATCTGATTTTACATATTTACTTATTTGGTGTCTGTTGTATAACTAGCGAGACTTTTATAAAAAAAATAAGCATTTAATAAACAAAAGACTTATAGCCAAAACTGGTCCAAATATCGCACTACTATTCTTTTGTGGACAACTGTATATGTGTGTACGCAATTTAAGAAGAAAAAATACTATGTATACATACATATATGTATGTACTAATCCGAAGCTCACCTGCATCCATTGTACGGCAAAATATAAACTCACTGGGCCGACCCCTGCGTTCATCTTTAGCATATAAGAGCATTGTGATGCGATAGAAGGTATACGTTTGCAATTCTTTTAAAGTGATTTCTTGAATTCCTGGATCACCAAAATTAATAGTTATGTTCTCAGAATCGTTACACTGCTGTCCTTCACTTTCTACGGGGCAATACGTTACATTGTAACCATTAAAAGCATTAACACAAGTCTCCTCTAAACGCCACCTTAAGGCGATTTCTGTCGATGATACGGCTTTAGCTTCGAGCGTTACGGTCTCTAAACTGCCGAATACTGCATCATAGCAAGTTTTCCAATGCAAACCACTACTCGAATTTGGATAATTAGCCGCAACAGCCATTATGAATTCCTTTTCTCTTACTGATATATGGAACTTTGTCGTATTATTGTTGACCACTGCGAAACGCATCGAACCCTATTTGGAAAAATAGTGAGCAATTAACAATTTATTAGGCTTTGTATGTGGATTTTTTTTTTTTTTTTTTACCTCACACTTTGTCAGTGACACTAACTTTTGTTGACACCAAAATACAGTGTAATTACTTGGTGGGTCTTTCTGGTAGTCAGCAGGATGCATCCATAGTAATTCAAGTGTATCGTTACTATACAATAACTGCTCGATTCGTTTCGGTACGTATGATGTTTGCGATACATTAACATTAATTGTACTCATAGCTATAGATGCACCAACATCATTTACAGCGCGGACTTCATAAACTTTAGGTTGGTCTAACCAAGGAAAGGTTACTGATGTTTCTGTAGATGTTTTTGATGTTCTACAAAAACAAATAATAAAAATAGTAATTAGTTCAGTTATGTATATCGGGGTTGGTGGGAAGCGGTCGAGCGCAATGGTTTTAAGGGAGAAGCAAAACGTTTTTCGTTGTTTCTTAAGATAAAGAAATAATACGAGTACTCTAACATATTTTTCGAACAAAATTTTTATTAGAAAAAGATCAAAAACTGTTGCATTAAATACAAACGAAAATCGATACCGCCACTACACACAAAAAAAAGGCTGGGTTGACGGCGAAAAAATACGCGTAAAAAAATTTTACGAAAAAAAAAACGCTTAACGAAAACTTCGCCGAAGAAAGACGTAAAACCGAGTTGACGTCGAAGAAATACGCCTCTTTTAGGTTTTTGAAACACCGGCTTTAAGGAGAAGAAAAAGTTTTTGGGTAGGGCTGTGGAAGTGAGAGTTCTAGTTGAGTAATTAATTCGGGTTGTTCCGATTTCCTAGGCCCAACTATCGTAGGAACAAATAGGATTTTTATTCAGCCAATTTTAGAACAAGTGTAGAAATTCCAGTTTGTGGTATGACAACACGAGAAATTGTGAATTTATTTTCGTTATTTACTTGCAGGGTACGGCTACACGGAGTGAGACAATATATAAGTATACAGGGTGTTCTAGATCACCCGTTCACCCCTCCTAAAATGGACGAAAATGTTGTTTATTCGAAACCGCAAAAGCATAAACTACTAAGTCGGATTACCGACTTCGAGTTTCGGCCGCAAGTGGGTTAAACTGGCCGGAAGTGCATTTCTTTAAATCTGACATAAATGATTTTTATCACAGATTCGGGTTCCAAGGACAAAATACATACCTTTTGTTAGAAACTTTCTTATCAGAAGTGCCTTCTTAAACCTCTAAATGACCTTCGAACTTCAACTCGTCCTGGACTTAAGCCTTGGACGTTAACCCAAATATGTTTACACTTGTCGGGAGAGTTCTGGCCAGAGCAAGGGCGAGTTGTTGTTCCCTGTGACCCACCTCACTCTCGCCAGGCCAGACAATAAGTAGTTAATTTTGGATATGTACATAAATTAATTCATTCGCCCTCATTCTCTACTTACACATGTGTCCCATTCCACGTATCAATTCTGTAATAAAATCCTGGTCCATTCCGCTCATGTCGCGCCAACTCCTCCCAATATAGGCTTATTACCTTTTCAGTGGAATTGTAATGAATATAAAAGCCCCCTGCAATCGTTTTTGGCGGACGATCGGGTATACACGATGTGGTTTTGAAGTTAAGATAGGTTGGCTCGTTCCACTTGCTATTTGTGGCATTCACACGCGCACGCACAGTCAATGTATAATTCCAATTTGCATATGGAAGATTTTCAAGTATCATTTCACATTCTAATGTGCGACAAGTACTCGAGTTTGTATATCCATCTCTATCAACTGGTTGAACGTGAATATCATATACTAAATCTAGTTGGTAGTATGGGCTCTGAAAATCCCACCAATTCAAATTTACGCTATGGGATTTTATGTTTTCGATGTTAATAAAAAGTTTTGGAGGTATCGCTGGAATACATAATACATACATAAATACCCGGTTAGGTGTAAATATTAAATGCTTCAAGAATCCATCTATGCCACTTACCACTTTCATTATTTAAAACAACAAATTCTTGTGAAAGATTTCCTAAAATATTACTCGCAATCAAAGTGAATTTGTAGACATAACCGGAGGGGTGATAGGGGTCCAAAGTAGTATTCGCAGTTAAAATTCCATTCTTCATAGTATATTTGAGGTCACATTTCTCGGAATTTAACTGAAATTGAAGAATAATTAAAAAATTAAATTTTCATACAATATATGTATGTATGTATATATGTATGTTGCATTATCATACCAAATCCACTTGGTACGTTAAACTGTAATCCGGGAGTAAGTTATTCGGTGGAATCGAAAATTCACAAAACATACTGAAATAGTTATGATTCGCGCAATTAAAATTGATCACTGGTGTCGGAGGAGTGCCTTGAAAAAGAAAAGAATACAAAACATATACATACATTTTTTATTTTAGGATTTTATCAAAATTTAACAATTCTTTATCTGGAATATTGGTTTGTTTTTTACGAGTTTTTCGAGCAAAATTTTTTTTGTTATTTTTCTATAAAAATACCGCCCAAGCTTTAACCAAAATCATATAAATCACTATTTCAAACTTTATACAAAATTTAGGAAAATTCAACAAATTTTCAACTTTTTACCCTGAATATTTAGAACGTGTTTGGTTAGGCCGTTGTATATTCCATACAACTTTAGTCTAATGCGAAACCTCGATACAACGAATTTGAAAGGGTTGGATAAATACTTCGCTATATCTATATAGAGTTTCGTTATATTTATTTTAGAATAGCAAACCCGGGATACAACGAAAAATGTAAATGTTTGGAAAAACATTCGTTATAGGTATAGTTTAGTTTTTTTTTTATTTATAACGGTACTCTAACCGTCAACTCATTCCGAAATCGAAGGTGGAAGGCCACCATCCTGAAAAAGGGTGTGTAGGATTTTCTCTAACTCAGTAGAGCAGGCATTTTAGGGCCTCAACCTAATGCAGCCATGTTAGACATAACCCTAAGCTAGTCACCTGCAACCGTGGTCCACAAAAAAGGAATCGATTCTGTCGTCTCTCCCGGACCTATGTATACTAATTTTTCTTATTTTTAGCATATGTACATATTTAGATAACACCTATTGATTGACGATTGGTATTACACTACGCCACGAGTGATTCATATGTTTTTAGGCTGTACAACCATCTTAGCAGTCTGTACCTAAGGTCGGCTTCACTTAAGGTTGGCTTTTTAATTGTGTTGATCACAAATTTTCTCCATGTTTTTGCTTAAGAGCAAGGAGTTGAGTTAGTTGTAGAGATATTCGCGATTTCAGTGAGCATATGACGCAGCAGGAACAGGCTCTATAGATTTTAAATATGATTGGGATCAAAAGATTAATTCCTTACTGAGGCAGGCCTAGGTAGTCCCCTTTAGCGCGGGCGATATACATTTATGGGCTAAATTAAGAGCTTATTTTTCATGAGTTGCCTTATGAAATCTTAAATTAAAAGATTTTATGATACTTAAATACATATCACATATGGACATTTACGTATTCAATGCAAACTTCTACTCACCCACGTTCAATTCCGATTCATCTATGTGCTTATTGTCCAAATATGTACAACTATATTTCGTTTTTTGTAAAGATGCGTTTCTAATCAAAAGGATACTCGTTGTCCTATTAATTGACTGAAAATTTAAAAATACTTATGTAAGTACGTATTGTTGTAAATAAATAACATCAACGAATACACAGTAATAAAATCATAGACAGACGGCAGCGTTGATCCGGATCAACTCGCTATTTCAGTATTAACTCGGGAATTAAGTTCCGGATTAAGTCATAGAGTTAATTTTCAAACTTAATGCGGATCAGGGACATTTTCGAATGACAACACTGTCCAAAACGCAGAGAACTTAGAATACAGAAAACATACAAAAGTAGCGTCGGCATATACCTGTTGTTGGTGTAACAGCATACAAATTCCCCAAAGAGTTTTTGGGGAGTGTTGCTGGAGTGACAATCCTGGCCTCGTCGGCGGCAGTGCATTCACTACATCAATTTAGACGGTTAATTTAGTGTCAAGAACGTTCCAACAAAACAAACCAAACGGGAAGAAAAGTATTGAGAGCAGTTTGAATGGAAGCAAAATGAGCACAAAAGTTTCGGAAACGGTTCCATAAAGAACAAAAGGCGTACACAACTTTTGGGAACGTTCTCAAGAAGAACATAATGATAATAAAACTTTCTGGAACGTTTCCAAAGAAAATGAAATGAGAGCGAAAGTGTCGAGAACGTTTTCAAGGAGTTTCTGCTAGAAAACAAAAAACCTATATCCAAAGTTTTGAGAACTTGACGTTAAGAATGAGTGGGGCATCTGCATGTTAAGATCAAAAATTGTTTCAGTGGGAACAGTGATTGTTAATTCTATGCCAGAGGAAAGCTTGATTTCAACTTCCAGATTGCATATCATTAGGGTGACAAACAATTTTTAATTTTTTTGTGAAAGAAAAGTTCGTGTCTTAAGTCTTTCGTTTACTTAATTTGTATAATAATCTTGCAGTTCTTTTTTTATTAATTTTAATTTACAAACATTTAAAATTAATGCAGCACTATGAGAAAAATGTTGTTCTCGCTTCCATTCTTCGGTAAAATAGTTCAGACAAGATTTGTTCCTATTTCGTTCAATGTCAGAACGTTCCTGAGATTTTAATTCCCAAATTATTCTTCGAGAGAATGCTTTTTTAGACTTTTATTCCCGTTTTATTCTTTGCCAAAACGTTTCGGAGACCTTTGGTCCCATTTTGTTTGCTTAGGGAACGTTCCTTAGGGTTTTTTCTTACATAATTACCGTTGATAACGTTCTCGAAGGTCTTGTTCTAATTTCGATTTGGGTTTCAAGCGTTCTTAGAAACAAAACAACAAGAACGACATTTAGTTTCGGTGATATGTACCTTTTGTTCTCGGTCCCTGGTAATTTTACATAAATGAATTACAAAGAGCTGAGAGTTCGCTTGAAAACGATGTACCTTCATTGTAGATTCTGTGATTGGCGCATAAATACATACATATGTATGTGTATGCACTATCTATGTATGTACTACAAGTATACACGTGACAACGGTGTAAGAAACAAAATACAGAAATACAGAGAAAAGTATCTGCTATAGGCTTACACTTACCTACCTAAATATAAGTATGTATATATACATATATACTTACATACGCATGTGTGCGTAGTTGTGAGGAAAATGTAATTTTCCAAACGTGCGAACATAATTAAGTAGCCTAACATGCATAGCCCAACCAATTGGGGGCACTTGTGTGAAAATTTCGCACAAACAATTCGCAACGAATCTTAATTAAATCAATCAAAGAGACACGTGTGTATGTAAATGCAACATCGGCGACAACAAATTCTCGCGAAAAACCAATCAGAAATATAGTAACAAATGAAGCCGTTTAAAATGTATTTCGAGAACGTGAGAATGTCCAGTGTTACGCATAAACTCTGAATTCCTTGCGGATTTCACAAGTGCCACAAAGAAGAAGCAAAAATAAAGCGATTACAATTCTTGTAAACTAAATTTTTTCTTGTTAGTAGCTCATAGTACATACATATTGACTAACGTACAACATACATGTGTGCGCATTAGGGTGGTTCAAAAACAGTAAAGTCGGAATTGTAATGCTCTCACCCCCTAGGAGTGTTCTATATCGAAAAAAAAGTATAGCCCTACTTTTTTTTATTTTGAAATCAAAAAATATTCAGAGGTCGCTCAAAGCGCTCAATCTTTTCCATGTATTTTTATATGGGAAAAATAAATTTTTTCGTAGAAATGTTATAGAATTCTTGAAAGTCAATATTTTTCGATCGGAAAACTTTGGTTCTCTTCAGGACACTTTCAATAATAATACCCAACTTTATTTAACCATTTTTAATACTAACGATCTTTTATTGGCGGCCCTATAAATTATAGATTGGGTATTATTATTGGGAATCTCCTACAAAAATATTGATTTTTGACTATTCTATACCATTTCTACGAAAAGTTATTTCTTCCCCATATAAAATACATAGAAAACTTTGGGCGCTTTGAGCGACCTTTAAATATTTTTTGATTTCAAAATAAAAAAAATATGGGTATATTTTTTCGGTATAGAACAAACCTAGAGAGTGAGAGCATAAACATTCCGACTCTACCTTTTCACATGCATTTTTGGACCACCCTAGTGCGCATACACACCCCGCTTCACTTGAATAGATACCTACATTTTTCTTTAAAAATAGAGCTTTTATTTTAAAATAGTAGTGAAAATAAAGTAATTACTCTATAGGGATTGCTTTTTACGAAAGATATGTTAAAAAAAAAACTTAACAACGCAATGTAACCAATTTTCCGAAAAAGCTGGTCAAAAGTCGAAAAGTGGTACATAAAATATTAGCCAAACCAGGTTTTTTGGTTACTTTTAAAAGTTCTAAATTTCACCACATAATTTCGAAACTCAATTAGCTATTATAATATACATATAAAAGTATTTATTGTTAAATTTATTTCATGAAATTCCAAAAAAAATTTATTACGAATGCAATTTACTGATAGATACTGGCAATATTTTCATGACACTCAGTGCCCTCTAATGCTTGACGGTATGTTTGTTGTACTTTTTTATTTTGTACTTGACATAGCACCGCTTATGGTCAGTGTATTGTTGACTTGATTCGCAAACAATACTCAGAATATCGCATTTATTTATCTACGAATATATGTAATGTCTACTTGAGTAGAAGGTGGACAGTGCACAAAAGTCTAGACAGACGACAGCGTTGATGCACATAAGCATATAAGCAGCCCTAATGTGCATTTACTTATGAATTATCTGCATACAATTTGCGTGCAATTTACCAATTTAAAGTTGAGAACACTACTCATATTTGGGAATGTTTTTTAAAAATACTTTGAAATTTTCAAGAGTGTAGAAGGACAGAGACGTCCCTAGTTGCCAGGTCATCAGCCATGAAGTTTCCACGATGTCACTGTGACCCGGCACCTAAACTAGCCTTATTAAGAAGTAATCCGACGCGTTTGAGCAGTGAGTCTACTGTTTGCTTGATGGCAGCACCCAAAAGACACATCAGAAGTCCAAAGGCCTGAACATAGTTTTGGTGGAGAGTTTCCCCTACAGCAGTATAAGGCAATCGATGCCTTTCTTATCCTTTCCTCAATGCAAAATTTATGCGAAAGTTCTGAAAAAATAACTTATGGATTTTGGGATATTATTAGGAATTAAATGGGGGAAAAAATTACAAGGAAATTTAGAGAGATATGAAAATAAATGGAATTATGTACCGCCACTAGCGTTACAGCAAGTATTTTTGTTTTCGCAATTTTTTTTTTTTTTAATTCGGGGACACTGCTTTGGACATATTTTCATACATTTTTAACAACTGAGTCCTATTACTAACTTAAAAATAACATTTTGATTTTTTCACTTTCATGAATGTCTGCCATGGAAATGCAATGTTAAATGCTAACTCGCTTTTGTAAGTTCCATAATGTGCATCAAGGCTGTCGTCTGTCAATGGTATAAGCTAGTCGCAACTTGTATGCAACAAAAATATAACAGAGGACGTTCAATGCCCGTTGCTTAGCTGGCCAGTGTAAAATTTCTTATACACTTGCATAGCCAATATCGGGGGCTTCGTAGGCATAGGCGCGCCTCTGCTGCCCCAGCAATAACGCAGGCACACTTTATGGAGATTTTCATTGCTTATCTTTGGTGTTTTTGTTTTCAATGTTGACATTGTGCCAACAGCAAGCGTTGATAAATCAGTTACAATGTACATACATATGTATATATGTTGCAATTGTCTGCGTTAACTTGTCTTGGCATTGCAGTTTAGCTGTACAATCAGTCAAGTGGCCATTACATTCGTGAGAATTGGGAGTGTTAAACTCAGATATCTACTCACCACAATATCAGTTCTGATGTTCTCCTTGCCGAGGTCTTTTTGAAAATAGACTGGTTGGTCTTCATCATGTTTACATGTAAGCGCGGCATCATCGCCCTTTCCCATTTCGATAACAACCGTCTGTATTACACTATCTAAATAAAATAAAATAAATATCTATTATTAGAAATGACGTCAAGATTTAGATACATACATATATATATTCAGAAATCTAAACCATCTTTTAAAAGGGAATATAAAAATCTGTGTAACAAACTATTCAAAGACTGCCATCCTACTATTTTGGATTTCACCAATTGAAAAAGGACATAGAAACATATCTGTTACAGAAACAACAACAATGCACTCACGATGAGTAGAAATAATAGCTTGGTCATATGTGTAAGCGGGGACTGCTATTCGATACGCCCCAAGTATAGGAAATATCTCTTACTTACAGAAAAAAATTACCAAGTCATAAATATCATTCCATTGTGGACTTTTAGAGTGAAGACGCACTTAGACTAGTAAATTAACTGTCCTTTGTGTTGCCTAAAAGAGCAAGAGACGATACAAAGCAAAATAAAAGAAAAAGGGGTGGGTTAACGGTAACACCTAACAGGGTGTTTTTTTTTTTTTAGAAAAACGCTGCATTCTTACATCAAAACTCCGAAAGCGGCTCAAATCGGTTTCTGAAGCTCATCGGGGGTGAAAAAGAAGTGAGAACCAAGGTATTTAAACCTTAAGTCTGAAAGCTGGACAGCTAATTAACAGATTTTGAGATTTTTCCATGCTACATACAGCTGCTGCAATAGTGCCTGGAAGTGATGTTTGGGTTTTCCGCATGAATTCCCATCGTACACTGACCCGTTAAAACTTCCACTAGTAACGAGAGAAGTTAATAATTCCGTGTAGCCAGCGTGGTCCCTACCATTTCCTTACTCGGTGACAATTCGTCAGGCATTTCTTGGCCATTTTCGAACCTCCTTATAAGGTATTAAATACATATATATTTAGTCAAATCCAAATAGTTCTACTCTAATAGTAGTCGTCCCTCGGCGGACAATTTCAAACGTCCAGTCTAATTCTGTCATAAAGGCAGCGTAATTGTTGGTCTCTGTGAAATAAAAAGAGACGAGGTCGATGATGAGTTTGCGCGAGAGTCTTTAACTGCCTTCTTAGGACCCGAACCATTCTGTGCTCTTAGTTGGTTCTCTTCGAGAACCATAATCACTGAGAGTGGTTACACTCTGAACGCAGTAAGTACTGATAGTCAGCCAAGCTCTTAGGATAACCTTTCAATAAATTGGATGTTTTTTTAACTATATAGAATTGACATCAGGGTACCGGGTATCTAACGGGCCACAACCAACAACGATTTCATATGCACCGAATAGGTGTTATCGGAGAATTTTTTAGGACGATGAATATTCGGACCACATTCTTTGTGACTGTCACAAAGATTTTTTTCATTTCAAAGCACCAATGCTACAACAGCCCTTAGAGAAAGGAACTCGACTGTCAAGGCCCCTTAGGATTTATTACGGAGGGTGTATTGTGCCTACTAGGTTAGGAATACTCAGGTGAAGTAGTAAGATAAACTTGGGATCTGTCCGTCATTTTTAGAAATAAAAGGCGCAAGTTCACAAAAAAGAGAAAACGAAAAACGTTTTTAGAGCGAAAAAATTAAGTAAAAAGAAATTTACTCTTACAACAATATAATAGCGATTGTTAAAATAACATTTAACTAAACTGAAATAAAGCTGCATTTATTACCAACAATACTAGTGCATGAATTTGAGAAGGAATGCGTAATTGTCGAGTTCACAATAATTAAGTATTTCAGACATTGACTATAGCCTTTGATGATTTATTGCTTAAACTAAGCAAAGAGTATTTAAATGAAAATTCCGAAATAAAATAGCCGTTCATCTAACTTTCGTTTAAACTTCAATGAACTTGTTAATTTAGGGCGGTTCAGTGAAAACTACTATAAAGTGCAAATATTTTTTGCTTTTATGAGTAGTCTCATTATCAAGGCCTTGTTTTCGTTTAAATTGTAAAGCTGGTGGGGGTTCGTTAGAATGAGTGAAGTTCGATTTACGAAGCAAATGAGAAACATGCATACATATGTATGTATGTAAAACTGCCAAATCATTAAATAGTATTCTAAGCTCTTCTTACATAATATTAATGCGCAAATTAAAATTTCATTGGAACATCGATTATGTGAATGAGATGCGCCTTAATTTGACCTACATAATTAAAAATTACGATGAATACAAATTTTAAACAAGTGATCAATAGCTAAATAGTTAATAAAAATAGTATATTCATATCGGAAATTCATGTAGATTTATATATATTTAGTTGACATTACTTTGTTTTATAATAAATACAAATAATAAATTAATAGTAAAAATCGTAAATTCATTTACATAAGCATATAAGCGTGTAGATAAGATAGGAAATAGTATAAAGCATGTGACGACCCTGTACCCCGAATTGTCTAGGCATCACTTTGTTTACAAGTTTTATTACGTACATCAAGTAAAATCAATGAGCACTTACAGTGGCGGATCCAGGGGTACAAAAAATCGCTCTACTCGTGTAAAATTTTCCATCCGCCAATGTTAGAGACGTATGTATAGTTTTAAATACATAACAAACCCGTTCCACACCAATATTGGCATGAGGCGTGGAGAATCGCGTAGACTTGGACCCAGGTAGGCAAAATTCCATAAAATTGTATGGGGAAGTTATATAGTGGAGAAAGTAAATCTCACAAAAAGCTTTTTAGATTTTTAAGTTTCAGTGCAAGAATTACATATACGTATTTGCAGGTATAAGGACAAGGCTTTTATGAAAAAAAAATGTATGGCCAGGTGGCGCACAGTGTGGAAAATCAAATTGTTATGTGATAAAATCAAATATCTCGAGAACGGTAGCAAAATAAATGTAACGGTATTCAGGAAAAAATTTATTGTTGAATAAAAGTTACTTGACCTTTAAAATTACCTTCAAAATGAGGTAAACATTTTTTTCTTTTTTGACCTAAGAACAGTAATGCGTCAAAAAATCCATTTATATGGTCGCAAGAACCGAAAAACGCATTATAGTTGTATAATACATCCTATTTTTAGGTAAAAAATAAGTAATTAAAAATTTTACTTTTGAAGGCAATTTTAGAATTACGTTGACCTTAAAATCGTCCTTCAAAGCAAAATTTTGGAATTTTTTTGTTCTCGAGATGTTACTTAGATTTTCTAATTTTTCACACTATGTGACGCTTGAGTCGAGTAGCTGAATCTATACCATCCACAAGTAGTTATATTTTCTGTTCTGATTTTTGAATTATGTCACTTTTGAACAGCCAAACACTTACCAATTGTCAAAATCGTTTCACTTAAAAGAGTTCCATTTTGAAAGCACAGGTAGGTTGACGGTTGATGAACTCCATTCAAAACTAACACGGCATAATTACTTAGAAGCTGAAAAAAATTTACAATTTAGGAAAGAGCATTCATGAAGCACATACATATGTACATTAGGGTGGTCCTTAAATGTAGGAAGCAAATTTTTACATCATATCTCCTAATCTTCAACCCCTACGTCGATGCTACTATGGTTGAAGATATCACATATATAAATTTTTGTCCCGATTGAAGTCGGTTAAGGCGTTTTGCACAGTGGTCAAAGTCCAGATTACCCTATGAAGACATCTTAACCGACTCCAATGGGGACCACAATTTATATGTGATATCCTCGACTTTAGTAGTATCGATTTTGGGTATTAAATGAAAAAAAAAATATATTTAAATTTTTTGAGTCCATAGAGGCATCTGAATGTTGACTCCTTTGCGACACGCCTTAACCGACTCCAATCGGGACCAAAATTTATATGTGATATCAGTGACCGTGGTATTATCGATTGAGGGGTTGAGACTGAAAAAAATCGTTAATTTGATTTTTTTAAGGACCACCCTAATGTATATACATACGTACATATGAATGTGTATAACCAACTAACCTCATTTTCGATGTCGAACGGAAACACGAACTTTTCCATAGACGCATCATAAAAGTAAGTTTGTGAACGATTCGAAGTCTTACACAATATAGTAGCATTACCATATTTGCCCACTCTTATACTACGTCTTATGACATCTGAAAGCAAAACAGAAATATGTAAATACATGTTAGATGATTTTTAAGAAAAACTTTAATAAACAAATATAAATCCCCTAGAACCCCTCTGAAACAACCTCTTAATTTTCTAAACTTTCAATGTGTGTTTGTGGCGACCGCTGTGTGACAACATCAAGGCGCGCGCCACTAACCGAAGGAGAAGCTCGGCCAAACACTAAATAAAATATTGTGTAAGCGCAAATCTATTATCTTTAGAGTCGACTTTATTTCGACTAGGATTAGGGGTATTGAATTTTACTTTTGAAACCTGTGGCGAAACTCTCCAAATACCTCGAAAAAATTCTAAATGTTCAAACTAAAGATTTCTTACTGCTCTTTTCATTTAATATGAAACCTTTTTTTTTTTTTTTGAAAATTGAACGACCGGTGCAGATTTGATGACGTTAACAAAGTTGACTCTTAACCCTCTGCGATTGACGTGGTAGTCTGACATACACCGAAGGTTCGACATTTTTCCCTAGCTTCAATAACGTTGATTACTAGAAACGCCTATTTTTCAACATAAAGTAAATAATCATTAATAAGTACTTAAAATATTTATGGAATTTCCATTTTAAATTGAAAGAAAGTGTATTAATAAATATCTAGTATATATATTTTAATCTGGAAAAGTGGTGTCTGAGAGACTACACGTCAGTATAATAGGGAAACTTCGTATTTGAAAACTTAAATAATCAGTTCAGTGAAATTTGTACACTTATGTAAAATTAAAGAGATTTAAGAAGATTTAAGTTTAAATATACTTTTGAAAAGGCTTGCCACCTGTTTGAAAATCGAATTTATTTAACTTATACGCATGATATGTGTGTATGTATGTATGTATGTACATTAGACCGCGTAAATAAAAAAAAATTAAAATTCCTGCAATGCGACCGGTATTCGACACAGATTTTAGTAATTGGTATAGAAATTATCCTCCATGAATCTCCCCTCTCTACGATAATTCTATGAGATCGCGCATTAAGTGTTTCTTTTTCCCATAGAAATAATGCTCAACAACATTTGGCACATTTACCATTTTGGGTTTGAGTTGTGCCCCTTCACATACATTAGGAGCGTTCCTTATCTCCCAGAAATAGTCAGAAAAAGTCCGAAGTAGTCAGATTTAGTCCAAAAAGCGTTCCTTAATTCGGAAATGACAGCAAAAATGAGAGAGCAACAGTCAGTGAGAGTGACTCTCATCAGTCCGAAGTAGTCAGATTTAGTCAGAAGAATTTTTTCTGGCAAAATCCTGAAAAGTGTCAAACTCAACTGACTTTAAATTAACGGAAATTAAAGAATATGCTAAATGTGAGAATAATCTAAAAAGTAAAAGAAATGAATTGAAATTGGAAGGAGGCAAAAAATAATTGATATAGCAAGTGTTTATAGTGCTTGTGCTTGTGTGAATGTGTTTTGTACATACATTTCTGTTCTTATTTGACGTTAGTTTTGTTGTTGCCATTCTTTGGACTAAAAATTTGGTTTTTTGCGTTCCTTTACTTTTCCTGTTATTCTCTTTTAGTGAGCGCATTTTGCTTACGCTCTGGCATTTTGACACTTTTCAGATTTTAGTCCAAAAAGATAAGGAATGAACCTATTTTTACTTTACGCCAAATTATTTCAATGAGGTTTAGCATGGGGCAATATGGCGGTGAACGTAGCACTTGTTCTCGCCCATTGGAAGCATCAGCCACAGCATTCTCAATTCTGGAGTGTGACATGGAGCATTATCGCATAGCAAAACTAAGTTGTCCAGGTGGTTACCAAAACTAAGGCGTCCAGGTGGTTTCTCTGCTCCTGCCAACGATGCAAAACTGAGGCTATCCATGCACCACATGTTTCGTTTTTGAAGGAACCTCCTGTGGATCGATTGTCTGACCTTAAACGCATTACATAGTTATTCACCGTGTCGAAGTAATGATTTAAACAGATTCAATCAGTTCATCAGTTCAGTGACGCTTTTGCATTTTCATTTGACGATTTCTCATTTACATTTCAATAATCTCATTTACAATTGACTATTCTCATTTTCAATTTGCCCTTTCGCATTTACAATTGATGCTTTCTCATTTACAACAGGAAATGGTGTAGTTATTTATCTAAGTATTTAAAACAATTTACATATTTCACTATTTTACAAGTTCAGTTGCAGTTGAATAAATTCTAGTCCCTTTTCTCACTTTTTCAATAAAAAAAGTACTCATAAATAAGAGTCTACGAAATACATATTTTTTAAGGTAAATGGAATTCTATTCCTACGAAAAACCCGCATACAAAATCTGTAATTTGCTATTCCGTAAAATGTTGCTGGGCAGTTGTTAGAACTGGTGCCTCTCACTTCTGTGCGAACTGCAATTTATGAAACCTGATAAAGACATTAAAAGCAAATATGTGTATATATGGACAATCTCAGAAGCGCACGCTCATACAATGCGAATTTCATATGTACATATGTATGTATATTTGCTTCTGAAGAAATTTTTGTTTTTTTTGTTTGAATAATTATTATTTCATGTAAAGCCGAATTTATGTGTTTGCGTTAATCATTTAAACATTACTACATAGAAAAGAGATGCAAAAGTATGTAAGTATGTATTTATGTACAAAGTTGCTAAGTCCAGTTTTATAGAAGAGGAAAATCTTATTTTAGTAATTTTCTTCAAGTATTTGGCAAAACTTGGATTACAACATTTTGCTTGCTTTAAAGTAAACCAAAACTCCAAAAAATACAGAAGGATGCGAGCTCAACTAAAAGATTTATAATTCTTTTGGACTTAACGAATTTGCCTTTCATTGAATAAAAATAATGAAACAATACCTTAATCCTTTTGGAAATTAAAAATTTTAGAAATTTCTCTTTCTCCCTATATCAAAATATGAGTTTTCACGAAAAGTGGTCTTACCAGCTGTTCACTCTAAGTTAAAAAGCAATGAATAGATGTCTATAAATGATTATATTTTATTCTAGGTGAGATAGAAACAATTGTAATAGGCGTAAAAATGACGAATTTGTGATCCATTGTTTCACCATTTAGGGCCGGTTTTTAAATGTCTGATTATCACTACCAAGTTAAACATCATTATCGACGATTTCGTCATTATGCGTATAACATGTGATCGATAAAGCAGTGGAGCTTCTACCTACGATTTGTGTTAATCGGACTTTGAACAAACGGCCCTTAGAATCGTTTTCACTAAGGGCCGGTTACTCAATGTCTGGTTAACACTAATCTGCAGTTAAACATCGTTATCGACGTCTTCGACTCCATGCATACAACAGGAAGTCGATAACGTGGATAACTATGTTTAACCGGAGATAAGTGTTAACCAGACATTGAGTAACCGGCCCTAAGTCTGGTTAACAATTATCGCCAGTCCTTAGTGTTTATTGCCGAAATACGGCCGCTTTTTCTAGTCGCTGTCTTCATATATAGACATGCACCCGAATTTAAAAGGAAAGAAATCGGAGTAGAATTTGAGCCAAGTCGATTAGAGGTGTATATTTAATTTTTTTCAAAAACCAATCGGGGCAAATATAAAATTAACAATTAAAAATTCTAAGTTGGGGCGAAGTCGAACATTAAATACCCGTCGCACGTATCAAATATAGTTTTTTCACCTTTCCGGAAATTACCGTTACATGGTAAGCAGGGGTGGTTACCCCTATTTCAAACATCCTCGATAGTATGTTCAGTTAGACTTAATGATATAAAGTTATATACAGTTAGAAAAAAGCATTTTCTTAAAACAAGAAACCAGTTCCCTTATTTAAGAGTTACTGTTTTTTCTTTAATATTGCGAAAAATTTACTCAATTTGAGAAGTTTTTCCTTCATTCAGGTTCATGCTAAAAATAGTGCGTCATTAATTTTAGGAAGTAAATTTAATATAAGTAATAATTTTATCAATGCTGTTAAGACGAAGTTAATTGCTTTCCTGGCACATGTCGGCTGTGGCGTCGCGTGAAGACTACTTCTTCTGGTTCTGAGATCGCAGGTTCGAGTCCGGTTGGAGGTTCAATTTAAATGTAAATTACAAATTGTAAAATTAATTTCATATATGGTGATCTCCGATATAGCTATCACTTCTACCATTTTTATAAAAGATGGTTGCTTTTCCACAATAGTTTTTCATTAAAAACGGCCTCAAGCTCAATAAAATTGTTGAATATAATTGTTTATATGGCCTTATAAACAACAAAAACAAATTTATAATATTATTATTTTCCGCCTGAAGATCCTTGCAAATATCAATTTTGAGTGAATAAGCTTCAGTACTTGCTAAAATATCGCAGTTTTCGTATTTCTGAAAAGTACCGTTATATTGGAGTTAGACGTGGTTATTGTCCGATTTTGCCCATTTTCAATACCATCCGTCCTTGGCTCAAAATTAGTACACATTCTAAGTTTCGTTAAGATATCTAAATTTTTAATCGAGTTATCGTGTGCACCGACGGACAGACAGCCACGCTTATGTATGTATGTATGTATGCAGGTATGTAATAAGTACCTTTTGAGTGCCTCAGGTGTCTCAGCTAAACGAAAGAATGAAATATGAAACCAACAAACTCGAATTATAGGCGTTACGAAAAAATTGAATGCATACAAATGTGTTAATGTGTTCACATTGGCACACTCCACCTAATACGTACATATCTATATATTTACATGTACACATAGTAAGTATATATGAATATACAAAAACTATACGGCTTCTTTTGAAACAGTAATTTAACATTCGCTGTTTTGGCGAAAACAAAGTCATGTTTTTTATTTATTCTCAGATTTTTACACATATACTCGTCAGTGTTGCCATTTTGGGCTTTTTGAGCTGGATTTCGCTCTTTATTTTTTTATCTAGCTCCGAAAATCAGGATTTAGCTCCTAGCT